AAATCGTATAGAAATGCTGAGAGGAAGGAGTGCAATGTATAGCCAAATCTGTTGAGCGATTTCGGGATTTCAGTTTGTGTGTTGAGTGCCGTCCACCCTCCATGGTGGAGCAAGCATTAGCTTGTTTGTGGAGCAAGCACATTCATATTTGTGGAGCAAGCACATTCATGGTGGGAAGAGCATTAGGCGGCTGCCAAATGGTCAATACACGGATTGGAAAATATCCGTTACAAATGCGGATAATCTTACGTTAATATTTACTATTAACAAATAAATTTGGTCCAAAAATCCAAATCCGTAGCCGTAGCCGAAGCCGAGCCGAGCGACGACGGCGGCGCGAGGCTTGCTTTCTTCTTAACTCTTTAAGAGCTACAAGAAGAGCAATTATATATATACCCACCAAAAATCTCTTCATCTTCCAATATGGGACAATATCTCATTGTCAAGAGGGGGAAACTTAAAATTTTACTCAAAAATTTCATTTTCCCTCCATTTCCCATTCACCCTCATTTTAAAACTATTTCATCTTAAAAATTAAAACCTCAACAAAAGCAACCTATACTTATCTTTTATAGAAAATTAAAGTATTTAATGATAGACATAGAGTTTACCTGTTCACAAAAAGTGCGATTACTGGAGTAAGCAACTATGAATCTGCAGCCCTCCACCTTCTGACATTCCTTCTCAAAGATTTTAATCACAACTGATTCATTCTTGAAAGATCTCGGTCCAGTCCTCATATACATTGTCATTCCGATCACCGGCAATCCCCCTTCGTTCACCTCCGACAACCTAACTTCTAAGCTCACATTACAATAAATTCTGGCCTTACACCTTAGTAAATCATATACCTCTATCCTTTTATGTCTAGACATGCCCCCTTCATTATGTCTCATCACCACAGCATCCTCAAAACAAGAAGCATTCATGTTTTCAGATTCTTCATTTCCATAATTATTTGTTTCAATATGAAGTGGTTCACCAAATGTAGCTTCCATTAAAGATTTCAACCAAGGTCCCATTTTAATCCTAAGTTCACCCCAATGGTACAAAATCCATCTAGATGGAACAAGTGAACATTGGTTTTTAATATGCCATGCTACAAATGGTACCATAGCTGACAAGCCATGCCAAATGTTATCATAATTATAGTGATTGTAAGATACAAATATGAGACCTTTTTTTAAGGTGGAATTGTAAGGCAATGTTTCAGGCCATGCTAGTGCATAGTAATTCCATGCACCATCATGAGTGTCATTACCTTTAAGGCACAAAACTCTACCTTTTGATGCATTTGAAGGGAATATTTGGTATTGGACTTCACCTTCTTCATGTGTGTCATACATGGAACTCATGAACCATGTGTGTCCTTGTTGAGCTGTGGAGGAGTAACGTAAGTCTTTCAGAGGAAGAAATGTAACCGACTCGCGGAGTTTCATGGTCATTGATTTGGTGAGATTATCTTGATCATTGTTGCAGTTGTGGTCATTATTGAAAGTTGATATGCTTGTAGTTGTGTTGATGATGACTTTTTGCCACTGATTCAAGAATGTCCATGATGGCAAGAGAGATGTGGAAGGAGAAGAAGATGGGGTTTGTAAAGATTGGATTTGGAAAACAATGAAAAGAATGGCACAAGTGATTAGGAAATAGATGGAGAATTTGGGTGAGTAGATTGAAAAGAGTGAATATGTCTTAGAATGTTGTTTGGGATGGTAAGGCTTATACTTATGATTACTGATGGTTCTTTCTTGTTGTGATAAGCCTACTGATCTGGTCATTTTTGGCATAATAAAAGGAAAGGTATTAAATGTGAAGCTTTAATGAAGTTTGAAAATGGAGATATCTGTTGATGATAATGGATTTGAGTACTGAGAAAAAACACAAAAATAAAAGTATATATACATGCATTCCTTGTGCAGGAGAACTTATGAGTAGGAACGTGGGTAATGTGAGGATATGAGCCTAATTTTGTCACCATTAGCTTTAAAGGGATGAAAAGGAAACAGACGTTTTATGGCTAACCAAAAAAAAAAAACAAAAGAAGAGATGCTACTAATTAAAAGTACTATAGGAGTTTAACCATTATTTTATTACTGTAGTACTCCTATCATTTTCAAAGAATTTGGGTTTGGACTGTGTAAAGTGCAAAGCACAGCCACCATTTTGAATTAATGAAAGTACACCTGATTCCCCACTTAATTACAATGCAACTTTCAGACCCAATAAACTAACCACCCTCCGGCCATCGGCAACCTCCTACGTCTATTGTTATTATTATTGTTGTTATTTTAGTCAACGACATTATTTTTTTTTATTTAACCGATGTGTTACGTCTATTGTTATTATTATTGTTGTTATTTTAGTCAACGACATTATTTTTTTTTATTTAACCGATGTGTTAAGAGTTGACGAGTGATGCTCCCAAGCGCGCGCACACCCCAAAAACAAAAAAGACCCCTCGGAAGAAAAAGATAATAGAGCAGTGTAAGGCTCTCCTGAAATGAAAGACCCTGTTTTACAATGGCGCGTGGAAGTGGTGTTCAGCAACTATTATTAGATCTAGCAGATCTCTTATTATTATCACAAGGCTACTTTAAATTTCTCAAACTTCTTTAGGCTGCAGTGGAACGAACAAGGGGAAAAGGGACAGAGAACACAGCTAAAGCATCACAGACCTTGTATTGAAGCAAGTCTGAAGCTGCAACATCTTCACATTCTAGTCCTTAACATTATTTTTCAAATGATAGCTATGAGGATGAAGAGTTTCAACAATATGGAATTCATATTAGTATGTTTTGAACCTAGAGCAAACTACACAATCACTTAGTAAGGATGCCCATCAGATCAGTTATTCCAAATAAATACACATAAGTCTGGCTAAATAGACTAAACAAGTCAAGAATAATTGCAGAACTTTTATGAACCAGTCTCGGCTAAAGGCGCAACCCAACAGTAAATCGCCTACAATGAACTGCCAATTTATCTAGAAGCAAAATTAATTAGTATAGAAAAAAGTACAACTCTTTCATCCATGATTATTGTCTCTCTATGCTGCTGCATACAAATGCTTGCAAGCATTCCCAAATTAATATGTTTGATCTCATGGTCATGCTACTGTGATTCATCTATAAGGTCACAGCCTTTCTGAATTAGAAGCAATTGGAAAGCTGCAGCTCTCTCTTCCAACCCAACTTCGCTATAAGCCTTTAGAAATCTATTGCAGCTGGAGCTATCAAAATCTGTCGCAGCAGATTGCTTCCACTGATCAATAATTTCTCCAACTTCCTTCATATGTCCAAGCATGAGATATGATGAGAGTATGCAAACATAATTTCTGCAAGTCATTTTTTGATTAGTCATCCGTAAGGATTTCCAAATTTGATCAAGCTTGTCTTTATTTCCCAATGCACCATAGAGAATAATAAGAAAGTCATATGATATCCACTCTCTTTGTGTGATACCGTTCTCAGATTCAACTACAGAGTTCGATCCTGAGTTTACAAGGTTACCTGAGGTGATATATATTTTAACAAGATTCATATATCTTAACCAATGTTCACCAGAGTCAGAGCCAAGACTTATTTCATCAAGAATCCGTCTCACCTCATCAATGTTTAGAGCTGCAGCACATGAACTTACCCACAGATTATAAGTAAATAGGTCTGGTGCAACCTTTTGAAGTTTCATCTCCTCAACAGTAAGAGGTACTTTCTCTAGCTGTCCAACAGACATGTACAAAGTCATCATCTCATTATAAGTGATAGTGCTCAGAGAAAGATTTGCTTCTTTCATTCTTTCAAACAGGTCCTCAGCTTTGTCAGTTAATCTCAAACTAGCATAGGAGTGGAGGAGAGCAGTATATGTTTCAGTAGTTTTTACAGTGGTAGGAAGTCCTTCAAAATAGCGTTCAGCAGAATCAATTCCAAAAACTTTGGTCATCAAGTCAATGCGGGTGGCATAGTCGGAGTCCAATGCTTCATCCTGATTGTGGTAAACCAGCCATTCTGAGATCTGCAATGCTATAGGATGCAAATCAGTACTTATGCAACAAATACGGACATTTACATTAAATTAGCAGTTCTCATTTAGTGTCTGGATTCTTAATGTGATAAAAGCGAAGTGAGGTCTCAGGTTCCCTTGACAACTGTCAGGCCAGGGAAGAGAACTGCATAACCTAGCAAATACAACTCCAGTTCGTATAAATTCCTTACGTAACAGTCCTCATCCCTAATCCAGGTACACTACAGAACCATTTCTAATTCAATGGCAATGCATCCCTACCTAATCCAATTGGAGCACCAAAGGTTCCCTAAGGATAATATATTTCTTGGAACTGGTGTTGTTTTACAGACACGTCAAAGAGTATAAAGAACTCTAGGCAGAATTTGATTCTCAGGTAGTTTGTGCAGCTACAGATGTGATTACTTCCAGTAGTTATACAATGAATGATTTGCAAGGTGAAACAACTATCTCCTACCTACAAGTTTTCCAAAGCAAAATGGCTAACATGTTCAGATATATTCATGGAATTTAAAATTTCATGTTCTTTTCTTCTTCAAAATATAATTTAAAAAAACTCAATGTTCTCCGTCTTGTGGCCAACTAGAGACTTACCTCAGAAATTTCCTGAAAGTTAACTGAACAAAACTGTATGATGACATAGTGTCAGCATAACTAATCTTCACACAGCAGAGGTTTTTATTCAGGGAGTTTATGGTGGGAAGGGAAAAAAGGGGAAAACCCTCTGAACTAGTTGAAATTTCAGACATCAGAACATAAGCAAAGAGAGTAGAGTTAAGGAAAAAGCTGAGGATATGGCGTGCACATATTTTTTTTTTTTTTTAAAAAGCTCTGAACTAGATTTACAGTTCTTTAGTTAACCAATTTTGGCTCTATTTTCAACCTGTTCCTAATATTGGAAGTGAAATAGCAGATAAAGTATAAAGCAAACTCACTGATCCATCACTGTCATCCACTGGCTTATAGATGAATCTCACTTTTTAAACTAAAAACGGCAAAGTTGTATCAGTTCTCGACCAAAGCAGTTGTTCCCATTGCTTCGATGAATCTATCGCAATCAATCGCTAACTAGCCTTCACTACCAAACTAGTGGAAGGGCTTTATGATCCTCTCTGAACTTTCCTCTCTATATCCATTTCATTCCAATGCAAAAAAGAAAAAAGAAAAATAATTTATCTCGGCAAACACCGGAACTGTATAAGTGCAACAACAACAATTAAGTCTCAATCCCAACCAATTGGTATAGCCTATATGGATCATTTGCTTTCATTGCGTCCTGCTCCTAGTTTTGTCTGCATTGCTTTCGAGAGAATGTGTAGATCTTTTGAGGCAACTCTCTTCATTTTTTGTGATACCAGTGGAGTTATGCTAGATTGCACGCACCTCGACTATTCAATTGGGTACACATATCCTTTCACTAGTACAAGTACTTGGTAACTTCGCCTATTAAAACTTAGACAGATTGAAAGTAATCAGCTAACCTTTTTTCCTTTACTGGTATTGTGATGCTGGTCTCCCATGATCTTCATTCCAATTTCATTGACAGGTAAGCTACCCTAAGATGCTTCCATTCATAAAGTATTATTTTAGGTCTACTTTGTTCCCTGCCTCTAATCATGAGTGTTGCATTTACATCAGTGCATAAGAGATCTACATAGTGCTCTCGGTGCGCTCTTCCATTTCACTCACTATATTTTAATTCTATGTGTTCCATCTTCATCTGCTTGAAATAGAGTGGAATGAGCATCGAGGATTAATATAGTCGACCCTAACAAGATTGGGATCGAGAAGTACATAGTTGAATAATTGATTATTTTACCTCTTCATCTATCATGCTATTCTCCTTGGAAGACTGAACTTAAATACCCCAAATGTCTTCTTTGGCACCACAATTCCTTAATCTTACATCCCCTCAAACTTTGGTTGGATTTATTGCTAAAAGCATTTAATCAAATTATGTTAATCTCATTTATGAAATCTTTGGATGAAATAGTCTAATTACTGGTAATTTCCTTTTATTTTTACCTGGAAGTAAAAGATACAAAAGGGGGAAAGACAAAAATCTAGAGAAGATTGAAAAGAAGAAAAAGAAACCTCGAGGGCGTGCTTGAATCTGCGTGAGTTGCGGAGTTGTTTGGAGATGTGACGGAGGTCAGAGATGGAGACTTGTCGGCCGTCAGTGACCCATTTCTGAAGGACGTTGGTGGCGCTTCTTTTGGGTAATCTAAGACTGAATATTCTGCTCTTTAAATCATCTCCCGTTTCACCATTTTCTTCCTCCGCACAGTTAGAGGAGGGGTCTTCATAGACAACTTCAGTTGTTGAACTAAAAGATCTGAATAGACTCCTTTCTCTGCCACCAGCTTTTCTGAATTTTCCAACAGAAAAATAGCTACTTAATCAGGTAAGTTTAAGAAAAACATAAAACAATATAAGTGCAGAAATATGGAGAGAAAAAGAGGGTGGAGGTGAATACCTTGTGAGAGTGGCGAAAATGGAGCGACCAGCCATGGAAACTACGCTTCTTCGAGCCCTCGGGAATCAGCGAGCACTAACTATAGCTGAAGGAATGGAGAAAATGACAAATATTGCCCATATGTTTTGCGGTAGGTTTAAAAGAGTACATGTGATATACAGAGTTAATATGTCAAACCCGCCTAAACTATAATATTTGTCGATTTTCTACTTAATGGAAACTACGCTTCTTCGAGCCCTCGGGAATCAGCGAGCACTAACTATAGCTGAAGGAATGGAGAAA